TGGGGCAATCAAAGAGTATATGGTCGGACTTCTTGTAGTAAGAACAAATATTACGTTTTTTGCAATGAGGTTGTATGTGACCTACCTCATTACAAAAATGGCACGTGAGAGTACTATAGTCAGCGCGCTGAAACTGGGGGCGACCAGAGGAGGAGCGGGAAGAAGAGCCTGAGGAAGAGTCGCGACCTACCGCAAAGGCTGCTTCACCAGATGCAGGGGAGTCAAGCTGGGCCTGACACTTGAGGCGAGTCTCCTCACGAACAAGCTCAGCATCAAAAGTATCAAGACAAGTCACGTTGCGATGCAGGAGAGAGGCACGAAGATATTCAAACTCCGGGCGAAGACACATAAAAAACTGCATGAGGCGAGAACGCTCGGCAACCAGCTCAGCCGAGGCAGCAGCATTCGTAGTTAAGGAGGTCGTAAGCATATCATGCTCAGTCCATAGATTGAGACACGTGTGAAAGTAAGTCCGGATGTCCCGATCCCCTTGAGAAAGCTGGGCCAATTCAGTTTCAAGCTGAAATTGGCGAGAAGCATCCTGGCGCGAGTGAACAGAACAAAGATGGCGCCACATCTCAGTTGTCGTAGGAAAGCGACGCAGGGTAAGAGCAGTTAGAGGATCAACCACAGCAAGAAGCCAAGTAATAATCTGAGCATTCCCGGCAGCCCAGTCAGCGCGGTCCTTGGCGTCAGCAGTAGCCGCAGGACGAGGAACATCACCAGTCAAAATTTCGAGCAAACGTTGACCTTCGACAAAATTGCGAAATTGAAACTCCCAAAGCACAAAGTTGGTACCATCTAACTTGATTGTTAACTGATCAACCTTGCTAGGATCCATGATGAACGAGCTGAAGAGCCAAAAATAAAACCGCCGCAAGCAATGAAGCAAAGCTAGGGCAAGCAACACCCTTCCCTAGACTAATGGACAAGAGACGACAGACAGCACAAGGAACAAAGAGCCACCAATTAATAATGTGGAGAAAGAATACCAATTGCAGCCGTAGAGAGCAAACAACAACCCGCGCCCAGACAAAAGCGAGTTGCAACAGCAGCAAGCCCAAGCCCCAAACAAACGGCGCTGAAGGACAGGAGCAACCCAACGAAGCCCAAAAACAGAATGCCCTAGTCGTGAGGCTCTGATACCATGTCAATTTAGCAAACAGAATAGCAAAAAAGCAAAGAAGACAAGGAGTTTTTTAACGTGGTATCGTCAATTAGACACTAGTCAACGGAGAGGATCACCCTCTCAGGTTTTTGTATTATCAGTTTTCTTAACCAGCTCAAGAGTACAAGTACAATATTATAGTTTTTCCTTAGCCTCTAGGTCGGCTAACTTAGCCTTTAAGTCGGCTAGTCTTATTACAAAATACCACCTCAATTAACAAGAAGTATAGAAAGTATAGTGAATAAGGTGCAAAGAAGGTGGTAGTAGGTTTGTTTCCATCCCAGTTTCCACTATACCATTTGTAATCAATCAATCATATTAATTTGTTACACCATTCTCGTCTGGAATGGAAATGCAGATTGTTACGCCCTTTAGAACAGAGTACGTATGATTCTTTCTATTTCGGCGAAACTAGGTAGGCCGATGTGAGTCAGGTCGAGTAATAGCATAAAGCGACTGAAGGCAGCCGGATTTAGCTGTAATGGGATTCAAAATTGCGTTAGGAGAGAAGGGATGATAAGAGTGAATTGGGAGGAAGGTGATGATGAAATTCTGGGAATGGAGCTAATTGTGGTCAGGTTTTGAGTACTGATATGGAAACAGCATCAGGTCGGTTAAATGATCAACCTTGCTAGGATCCATGATGAACAAGCTGAAGAGCCATAAATAAAATCGCCGCAAGCAAGGAAGCAAAGCTAGGGCAAGAAACAAACTTCCCTACACCAATGGACAAGAGACGGCAGACAGCACAAGGAACAAAGAGCCACCAATTAATAATGTGGAAATGGAGAAAGAATACCAATTGCAGCCGTAGAGAGCAAACAACAACCCGCGCCCAGAAAAAAGCGAGTTGCAACGGCAGCAAGACCAAGCCCCAAACAAACGGCGATGAAGGGCAGGAGCAACCCAACGAAGCCCAAAAACAGAATGCCCTAGTCGTGAGGCTCTGATACCATGTCAATTTAGCAAACAGAATAGCAAAAAAGCAAATAAGACAAGGAGTTTTTAACGTGATATCGTCAATTAGGGGTGGGATTCGGTCGGTAAACAATTTACCGTTTACCGAATTTACCGGTTTTGGTATACCGAAGTTGGCCAAACTGGTTACCGATTACCGATACAGGTTTGTAACCGGTTTACCGATTACCGAATTACCGGTAAACGGTAACAAACCGGTATTACCGAAATACCGTGAGAAGCGATTTCGGGCGATTTTTTCGGTCGGTTTACCGAATATTTACCGAACCGAATTTCTGGAAGTGGGGTGATGTTGTAATATTTTGATATTTTTGAGTTTTTTTCATCATTTTTGTAATTAATAATTTATTATTAACTCTTATTTACAATACTTTTGAGGCATATACTTACATTCATGTATGTAATATTTTATATTTGTGAATAATGATGTAATATTTTTCATAATAAAACAACAAAACGCAGCGCAGCACTAGAGAGTAGGGAGGGGGGATTCGGTATCGGTAATACCGATTTACCGTCGGTATTTACCGATACCGTGTCCGTTAAACCGACTCCCCCAACTTCCCGCTCGGCTACCGATACCGCCGGTTACCGGTTCGATAAAACGGTAAACCGTTTACCGGATTACCGTTTACCACCCCTATCGTCAATTAGACACTAGTCCACGGATCTCCCTCTCAGGTTTTTATATTATCAATTTTCTTAACCAGCTTAAGAGTACAAGTACAATATTTATAGTTTTTCCTTATCCTCTAGGTCGGCTAAGTCTTATTACAAAATACCACCTCAATTAACAAGAAGTGTAGAAAGTATAGTGAATAATAGGGCTGGCAGACGGTTTTCCGGTTAGCGGCTAACCGGTCGGTTTCAACCGAACCGACCGGTTTTCGGCTAACCGAAAAACCGACTCCAATGATAACGGTCGGTTGGCGGTGGGGAAGGGTAGGGGTTCGGCTAGCCGACTAACCGGGGTCGTAAACCGACGGTTAACCGGCTAACCGAAACCCCTCACTTAAAACACCGCCGCCCCCAATCCATTGCCCACTAACCCTAGCAGCCGATCTTCCCCTTCCTCCCTCCACCCTCGCAGCCGACCCAACCCCTTCCCCTTCCTCCCTCGCCGTCGACCTTCCCCTTCCTCCCTCCACCCTCGACCTTCCCCTTCCCCTTCCCCTTCCTCCCTCCACCCTCGCAGCCGACCCAACCCCTTCCCCTTCCCCTTTCTCCCTTGCCGTCGACCTTCCCCTTCCTCCCTCCACCCTCGCAGTCGACATTCCCCTTCCCCCTCCACCTCGCCGCCTCCACATCGTCGCAATCCAGCAGCAGCTCGTCGTCCCCGCCGCGGCGCCGCCAACACCAGCAGCTCGTCGCCCCGCCACGGAACCAACGGCGCGCTCGCGGTGAAGAATCTCCCTCGCCGCCCTCCTCCTCCCCGGCGCCGCCCCTCGCCGCCCCTGCAGATCTCCTTCCATGGAGAAAGGTGAGAGAAGAAGAAGGAATGAGAGAGAAGAGGTCTGGTGTGGTCCATGGAGAAAGGTGAGAGAAGAAGAAGGAAAGAGAGAGGAGGAGGAGATAAGGAAGGAGTGGTGGGGAATTTTTCCTGTTTTATTTAATTTTTTTTTTTTGGAAATTGTATTTATTTCGGTTGGCCGGCTAACCGAGCCTAAAACCGGAACTGGCCGGTCGATTGGTCGGCTAACCGTGACCTTTCTTCGGTCGGTGGTCGGCAGCTATAGGGGTGGCTCGGTTTAACCGATAACCGGGTTTTCGGTTAAACCGAAACCGACCGACTGCCACCCCTAGTGAATAAGGTGCAGAGAAGGTGGTAGTAGGTTTGTTTCCATTCCAGTTTCCACTATACCATTTGTAATCAATCGATCATATTAATTTGTTACACCGTTCTCGTCTGGAATGGAAATGCAGATTGTTACGCCCTTTAGAACAGAGTACGTATGATTCTTTCTGTTTCGGCGAAACTAGGTAGGCCGGTGTGAGTCAGGTCGAGCAATAGCGTAAAGCGACTTAAGGCAGCCGGATTTAGCTGTAATGGGATTCAAAATTGGTTAGGAGAGAAGGGATGATTATAGTGAATTGGGAGGAAGGTGATGATGAAATTATGGGAATGGAGCTAATTGTGGTCAGGTTTTGAGTACTGATATGGAAACTGCATTAGGTCGGTTAAATGGAAAAACAAATGAAATTAAAGAAATTTCTAAATCAGTGCCCCCACGCAGGATCGAACTACGGACCTTCAGTTTACAAGACTGACGCTCTACCACTGAGCTAAAGGGGCTCTGATATTTGCAAGTTTTGTAAATGTCTTTAATGAACGTTTTCACAAACCTAACAAGTTAAAGTTTTCGCTCTCTCACGTCTGCCAGCTTGCATACATACGCACAAGTACTGATGATGAGATACAGTAATTGCGACTGAAAACCAGTCAGTCGGAGTTCAATGAGGCGCCAATCAGTGACATGTACTTGAGTCTGGAGGCAACTCCGAGAAGGGAAGTAATTTCCCTTCTGTTGGAGAGATCGAAAGACCACATAATGAACATGTTTGTTTTCCGTAGCCATCATGTCGATCACGTTCGAATGCTTGCTGAAAATCATCGCCTTTCGACAGGGTTTCCTATCTGTTGCATCTTTCACTGCTAGCCATATTCAAGGCAAGTGGGACAATTACCTGCACAATAGTTACAAGGGTTCCTTTCTCATTCAGACCCGATTTGAACAATGTTATAGACGTTCAATGTGATAGTGCAATGAGTTTCATTCCAAACGGCAAGCAATGAGTTTCATTCCAAACGGCAAGCCAAATCTCATATCCTGGTAATCAATGGCTAATGAGATTCCCAATATCTGTTTTCTTTGAGAAATAAGAGTGGAAATCAGAGAACACCAATATACCATCTTCAAAGCAAAAGAAAAAAAAACCATAGAAAATCATGAAATGCATTAATAAAACAAAGCAAATGAGCAAAGAGTAGTAAATGAATACGAAACATAAATCCCACAGAGTTGAAACAATATACACAAAAGGGTCCAAAGTTCATGACTGTAAGGGGTAGAGAAAATTTTCCCCTTCATCCCTTCAGCTTTTCTCTTCTTCTCCCGATCTTTTCTTTGGGATTTCATTTCAATCTTTCAACAACATTTAAAGTCATCATGTACAGGATTGCAGACAATTAGTAAAGAGCAGGGCACCAGCTACAAGTATACAATCAAGGATCAGCTTTCCCTGCAACTTGCTCGTCCTCGGAACCATACTCATCTTCACTCAGCTCCTCATCGCTCGACGATTTCTCTTCCGGTTTCGCCCCAGCATCCTCTGGCTTTGCATACTTTTCACAGTACTCTGTCGTAAGGCAAATTGGCTTAGCACAAGTTCAGGAGATTGCAAAGAATATATGGCGAAAGCAAAAATTGCAGATGAGGAAGGTGCTATCCACAATGCAACAACCTTTCAGCAAGAGAGACAGAAGACGACATAAACTCATATTGATTCAGCCAATGAAGATTTTGGTTCTCGGGTTTCGATTCTCTCACTTAAATGTCCTTGAACAACCATTATGACTAGAACAGAATGAAGAAAAGTAGCAACACCCTTAAACTTCCAGGCTGTCTACTCGCATTGCAATCAAGACACAGAGAGAATTGGCTACTAAGCGATTTCCTTAGGAGTATATTTATTTCAATGGAAAGAGTTCTGGATTACCATTAAAATTATCAGATTCCACCCAAATAGGACACGAAAGTTTTTGTTGGCAGCCAAAGGGCAGATTTTCAAGGCTCGCTCTTTATGACCATGAATATATTAAGTTATTAACTCATTCAATACTACTTGTGGAAACATCCAGTACCAATGGCTGTGCTCCAGTACCTACTGGAGAAGGTAGCAGCAATCAATGACTTATGTGAGCAAATGTCATGAGTAAGCCACTTGGAAATAGAAAAATCATGCTGATACACGAGATGCAGAATTGAGAGATGCTGCTGCTGTGCACACTTTAGCTACAGGAAGACTGAGTTCCTAATCTAAATACTGAGAAGTCGACTGGCAACTTGGTTACCTAGTTTGGACTAAACAGATCCCAAGCCTCTAAAAGCGAAGGAAGAAGGTGAGTTGCTGTATTTATCAAACTTGCATCTCAAATTCGAAACTATTTGTTGTATCAGCACGTGTTACATGAGAAAGTGAAATTTGGAAGCATTCAACCAAACATCAATCTCGGGATCAAACGACAAGGCATGCAGAAAAACTTAATAGACGGGCTACCTTTCACTCTGAGATCATAAGTAGAGCGATCACGCATCATCAAAGCAGCAGCTTCTCCATTCAAAGGATCTGATGGATTGGGATACAAAAGAAGCTGAGGGAGAAACACCTCGAATACATTCACCAGATCTGGAAGAGGATTTTAATCAAGTGTCATGCCAAACAAAATTCCAGTTCCAAAAGCAATTGACTGATTGTAGTCAAATAGTGGACCCATCACGGACAACTGGACAAGTTACAGAAAATGCTTACCAAACATAGGGCTCCAAGTTTGATTGATAACATCCAAGCAAACTGAACCAGACCTGAAATTCAGGAACCAGCAACTCTATGATCAGAAGTCAAGACCATTCTGTTCATACCAGATCACCGATAGGAAAGCATTCAAAGTTCTGATTCAACTCCTAATATATGGTAGGCTAGCTCACATTTCATCCACGTTTGGGTGGTAGATCTTGTTAATGAATCCGATAGATGGAGACTTATAAGGATAAGCATCTGGTAATTCCACTCTAATCTTCCACATTCCTCCTTGATAGGGACCTACCATATTCCAAAAAGCAAACATTAAAAAAGAAAGATGAAGAAACAAAAAGAACCCATCTTCTCTATCCAGTAAAGAATCCCCAAGTCATTAGTTTTTGTTGAGGAAATCATAGAACAACTAAACTGCACCTCGAACAAGAACTCGAGAACTGGACTAAATCCACGAAAACATCAGCACCTACTTATACTACAATCAAAATGGCAACTACCCTAGTGCCAGTTTGCCATTGTCGATCAAAATGATAAACAACAAGAGACCCAAAAAAGAAAAGAGTTAAAAACTGACTAACCAAAAGGAAAAACAGCGACTCAGTTATCTATAGCAATCTCCAACGACGAATCTATCACTAAACCCATCTAAATAAGGTCAACACAGCTGCGAAATCAATCAACTACGGGAAGAAGGAAAAGAACCCAGACAAATCATCACCTCGGGACAAATTAACAAAGCATATTAAGAGATCAAAACAGCAGGGAATAGGGGAAAGGGTTAAAGAGGGTAGTGAAGATTGTACTGTCTTTTGGTCCATGGAACTCCACATAGAACTCTTGCACGCCATCATTGATCATCTCCACCTTGTAATCACTCATCATCCTAATTTTTCCATCAAAATAAACAGAGAAAATAAAATTAGAAACGAAGCTTTGGGCGGAACCCACTTGACAGAGGAGCAGTACTTCCTTAATCAATCAAGAGATAGCTTTGAAGAAGTTATCATACAGTTTCATCAAATCCATCTCTCGGCGTTTGCTTGGGGAAGACATGGTTGCTTCTTTCTTTTCCGCTGCGCTTGTTCAAAGGGTTGCTTACTTCTGGGCTTGCAAGTTATTTTGCTCTTTCCGAAGAGGTATGGACGGTGAAGAAATGATGAAAAGGAAAGGAAAGGATATAGCTTTCGGCAAAATTAAACAAATATGTTACGATATGCTGAGAGAGAATCGGAGGTAGAGTTTAATCTAAGGGCAGGGTACTTATGCCCACTCCCCATCCTCTAGAGTCTAGACGCCTTCTTTTTACTTTCTTAACCCATTCCGGTGCAGTAAAAGCTGAAATGACAATTACTGTGGGAATGATAATCGCGAACAAGATCAATTTAACTCCTGAATTTTGGTAGTTTGGTCACTCCAACGTATAATCTTCGTATTGGGTCAAATTGCTCCGTAAAGTCTTATTTTTAGTCATTTCGGTATATGAGGTTTTTTTTATGTCTAGTCATCCAAATTGAGTTGATTGTACTGCATTGACTAGATTCAATTTTGCAATATGCCACGTCATATTTGTTCGTCCCGTCTCATAATGCTCGATTCATTAAATTTGAGCATATGAAGCAGCTATATAACAAGGATCCTAATTTTGGTGCGTTTTATAAGGCATTTAAGAAACTTGGCAAAGAAAACACACAATAGCAGTTACGGATATTTGTTTCGAGCTGATCACCTATGTGACAAATACATCCGTTCAAGAATTCTATAAAAAAACATTTCAAACATATCAAGAACTTTACTAAAGAACAAAGCGTCAAATAAGGCAATGCAATTTGACAAGAGGAGAAAAAAAATAAGGCAATGCATACTTACACATAAAACGTGATGATTTTTAGGCAAAATACACATGCACAACATATTTCTGAGAAATACATAAAATAGTTAAAATTTCGGATGGTTTAACAAATTTAACAATTTTTTTTACAAACTTTAACTATGTTCGAAACGCGAAAGTTGTACCTATACAAGTGTATTTTGCCTAACATCTGGTTAGGACGAGGCATCCACAGGTCATCTAGAAAACCAGTAGAGGAAAGGAAATGGCAGACAAATAAAAGAAGGAAACATAAAGAAATGTAACGAAAAAACGAACTCTTTTCCGTATAATGATCCTCTTCCTTTTGCACTAGCAATGGATACAGCGGGTTTCCTACAGCAGGACTTTACATGAGAATCCACATTTGAGGGGAAACAACAGTAAGAAGAAGAAAAAACTATCTATGTAGACCATTGGAGACAAAAAGAAGTTGCCCTGTAAGGAGGAAAAATAACTTCCTGAACATTCCTCTTCATCCTAGTCTCCTCCGAAAACAAACGAGAATTTACCAGATGCTACTATCCGAATCTGCCAAAATTGTGCAACTTCGTTTGCACAGTCGAACCACAGTTTGATCAAGCAAGAAGATTGCAACAGAAGTACTACCCCTCTCAGTTTCATTTCTCGTCAGGATGCCCTAAAAGTAAACCATGTCAAAGTTTTGCAAGCTGTCATGAACTCCAAAGGAAGAAGAATGTTCTGAACAAAAGCTGTGTTTCCAAGTTTCTAGCTACTCTGTGCTGTGTTGCTGAACTGATCTTTACGTCTAAGGGTACTCATTACACTGGTGATTCACTGAACATATCTCTGTATCTGTACCATGAACCTTGATTGCATGGTAGCCAAAACCATCAGTGAAAGATCCAAACTGTTTCTCGTCATCATCACTATCAATCTCTTTTGGGATCACACGGTTCTGGTAACTCCTCCGCTGAAGTTGGAAGACGTTGAAGTAATAGCTGACCAACTCTCGCTTTGTCTTCCCAGGGAAATACCTATGAGCATAATCCCAAAAGCACCTCTCCTGAGACGGAGGGTTATGTCTCACCATATCCTTGAATCTCTTTTCTTCTTCGGCAGTCCAACTGAGAGACACTTCTTCCCCCATGTGGTGGAATCCACTGTGGAAGAATGCCGGGCCTAATTCCCGCTTCAGTTTCATCCTTCTCTCGGCAGTATGAAAACGAACACATACAACCGAGCCTGGAACCAGGCAGCTGCAGGAATCAGGCCTTCCCTTACCAACCGTATTCATTTGAACCTTACTGATAGAGTCTACCTCTTCCAGAGGCCATAGCTTAGTGCCTAGCCACTTACTGTCACTCTCGTATACCTCCCCGGTCCATTTAGGAACTTTAGCCTGAAACCGAGAACCTACACGGACTGGAACATGCTTATCCTTTAACGGAACGGTCACTTTTGTAATGGGCAAAGAATCAGCATAGTTAGTTTTAGGCTTGTCATCATCAGCACTCCCACCGTGAATACAGCATGAACACGAAGAATGACACTTGCCTGATGCCATCTGTCGTTCTCTGCATCTCGAATTCTCCACGGCCTGGTCAACCTTCATATCGTCATACATGGATGGATGCAAGTTTTGCTGGTTCTGCATGTTTAAGGAAGAAGATTCAGAAAGAGAAAACAAGGCTATACGCAGTGCGTGGTATTTATGTTTGGAATACCTAACATGTAATGCATATAGCACTATGATCCCTCTCAAGCAAAAGATAGACATGGCCAACTTTGCTCAATTTACTTTCTGGTAGTCAGCGCTAGATTGACAAATGCAATAGTAGTCAGAATAATTCAACAAGATAAGATGCTCTTGGGAACTACATCTGATTTGGGTAATCTAGGTTGTCATTTTGCATAACTTGTTCTAAATGTCTAATAGAGGAAAATGTTTCAAGCAAATCCAAGAGTACGGACAAGGAAAACGAATCAGACATCCTATCCAACATCCATATGAAATGAATAAAATTCGGTACCCTAAAACGCTCATGTTGAAAAATAGTTGTCTAGAAGACCAGAGCAGAAAGTGAACCACTTTTCCTGAAAAGGACTTGCCCTAAAAGAAAAAAAGGTTAAGTATACGTAAAAATGCATGTTCTCGAAATAAATTTGAATGAGATTGCTGCAAAATTTCAGCAAAACAGCAATGTATCGGTCTACGTTAGAAGAATTGGTTTAAAAGCTACATAAAACCATCACTAACATGCAGGATCTCATATTTACCCAAAATCAACACCTAGCCCTCTAAGCTAATTAAAGAATCTGCAGAATCCTATGCACCATTCCAGTCAACATCAGCATGCTAGATTTCTCATTCTTCTCCACATGTCTCATAATGAAACTGTGCATATTTAGATGGTACATTTTGTCAACTCAAACGAAGTACAATACACTCATCAGTTCAGTGACTTGCCAAGTCCCATAATCAAATGCCAGGCAAAATGAGTCAATTTAATCAGAGGAGACCACCACAAAACGAGTCAATAAATGAACTTGAGACTCATCCATCATATATATGAGCAAGAAAAGCTCTAGCACATACATTTGACACCATAATAACCACAAAACCATATAAGAGATGAAGTTCATAGGGGTTTGATTCCTAATCCTGAAATAGGCAGATGGGTTACTGAAGATGGGAAGAAATAAATATATTAAAGTGTCATAGAGAAAAGCACCTTTGAACAACTCTGAAAATCATTCGAATCAAGCGGCCTTCTCTTCAACAGAAAATCTCGAACACTGATGGCCATGGCCTTCAAGTCATTGTCTTTCATAGTATGGTTTGACTTGGAGATGACTGCTTCAGGACATGCAGCAACCCGGACCATCCAACTAAGCATTTCAGATACTGACACTCGTTTTCTCTTGCGTGATTCTTTCTGAGCAAGGTAATAAGCATGTGAGGTTCCACGATCAAGTGAATCATCGCCGCCAACATTGTATTTTCCACTAACATTTTCGTCATCATCATTGCATCTACTTTGATACCCATCTTTACTAATACTCTTGCCACTTTTCTTGTGTTCCAATGAGACAACTCTACCATCCTTCTTACCCTTTTTACCATTCTGGTATGATAAGAAGCTCCTAAACTTTGCTTCCAAAACAAGAGAGAAATCGTCCGAATCACTACCTTGCTCACAGTAACTATAGCTCTTAGTCAGCCGCCTTTCCAAGTTATACAAGTACTTGTAATAAACCAATTTAATGCAGCCAGAATACTTGGGATCCATCCTTAATTCTCCCATCACAAAGTGCCACCATCCATTCACCAAATCAAACCCTCCCCTCTTTCCCACCACACAAAAAAGTTTGAACAAGTCAACGGATTGCACGTCGTCAAGCAACACTTGAATCGGCTTGATGCACTTCCCATTATTATAACCCAAATCATGGAAAACTGAAAGAGCCTCATCAAACAGTTTCCTCAGTTTAACATCATCGTCATTAGGGTTATTGCCAACAACAACAATGTCATTCACAGCATGTTTTACAACCATCTTCTGCTTATGATTAACATCAACACCCCCTAAACAAGGTCCATTTGCCAACATCGACCACCCTGCCATCAAAAGACCAAAACTTCCCCCTTTCTCCGCAAACCCAAGACCAATACCAAAATTAATGTCCTACTGATACGAATTCAAAGCAAAAGCAAAGCAAGAGTAACAAAGCAAACAAAGTTGCAGGTTTTGGGTTCAGAAAGGGGAGAAAGCTCTCATCTTTTCCCAGTTGTTTCGTCAAATTGATACAAACAAGGACGCCCGAAAACGAAGACACCAACTGGGTCGCGGAGCTGACACAAACTGTAATTCCTGAAACCAAAAGCGAGTGAAATCATCAGTTGCGTTAGGGCATCCTAAGAAAACCCATAGATGGGTTGGCATTTGGACTCCAACTAGACAGAAGCAAAATTTATGGGGTGGTCAAACAGCTGCTGGGAACTTGACACAAACGACAAACCATAATCAATTGCATCCATTCAAGCTTCTTCCAGTTACCGGAAACACGACACTGTGAAGAGGGAACTCACATAGTTACACGGCCAAAGTGAAAATTTCGAAATCGGAAGTGAGCAGCGGTGAGCTAAAGCAGGCAGCAGCAGCGGCGCCGGGATCTCGAGGCGTCGGCAGTGATGAAATGCTGCAGCACTTTTTGAAGGGGGTGGAGCAGTGGTGGCTAGTGAGTGAGTGAGTGGCGATAGATGGTGTGACTAGGATGGTGAGTGGTGAGGAACTGAGAATCGGCAGTGAGGTTGGCGACTAGTGACCGCTGACCGGGCACTGGCGGCGGCGGGTGTCAGCAGGCGGCAGTGATTTCTGGGAAGAACCTTGCGGATGGCTGGATTAGGGATTTGGAAGGGCAGAGGCAAGGGGAGAGAGTCCTGAATTTCTTTGATTTTCTTTTTGCAGATTTCCTTGGAAACGCCGTTTTGGTTGTATGTGGGCGTTTGGTTTTCCAAATGATTTGTTGAACTCAAGATGAACAATCTGAAGGTTTTATACTATCATTCAACATGAGTATTAATGACCCTCAAGAATTTACAAAGACTGGTTTTTGGAAAAAAAAATCTAGATTTCGTATCAGGGTTATTTATTTCCTCGCCATTGATAGCATATTGGAAAAATCCATTATGGTCAATGCATTTTCTGGAAAAACAATTCCATTCTTGGAATAAATTAGAAGGGAAGAAATTTAGGAATTGATTATTTTAAATTATCTTCTTTTTATTTATAAAAACATATTATTCATTTTTCTAATTTTACAACAAAAAAATGAAATAATTTGAGCGATGATGACATTTGTAACGTTAGATTATTCGATGAATCATTTTTTCATGATTATTATGTTGTCGTGGTAGGCTAGTGTTCTAAGTTCTAACACTAAACTACTAGTGTTATTGTTTGTTGGTTTACGGCACAACGTAATAACTATAACATGGTAAAGTTGACTTCTTGGCGCCTATAAAAGAAAGCAGAATGGTGATGAAAATTAGTAGTTCTTCTCTTCGCACTCCCATAATTGAATTTGACCATTTTATTTATTCGGTAATTATATTAGAATGGTATTGTTGGGCCATACAGGGACACATGCAAAAACCAAAGCCCGCAAGACAGGAGCCTAGCAAATCTTGCCCGGGGAGATTTGCACAACAGACTCGAAACTAAGAAACAGGGGCGAACAAGGTCGCCTTCGCCCCGACACCACCGCAGTAGGTCCCCAAGGAGGCCGCGCTCCAAATCGTGAGAGAGGAGGACGCGGTCACTAAGGAGGTCTAGGTCTCGCGTCCGGAACGAAAGGGAAAGACTCCCGTCCCCACCAAATGCAGCGCTGGCAAGGAGACAACCGCGCTTGGATGAAGAGGATCTGGAGGTAATAACAATCTGGAGGGTAGAAAACGGTCAAGGGCAGCGGAGGAAGGAGCTTCGTGCCTAACTTTGTCGAGTTGCTAAACCGATCGAAGTTCGAAACTAACAAGAATAGAACAAATGAATCAGATTATAGCTACACTTAGGGAAAACTGGTAAAGAGAGAGATCATCATCATGGGTACTTTCCAGGGAGATAATTTCTATAGGAACTCGATGACGAGTTGCTAAACCGAGCACAACTTATAGACCGAGATGGCAAGTATAAGAACACAGTCATTAATGATATCAAGAGACCTCCACTGCTGCTTGATGTTGTACACAAAGGACGCCTTGCACGACTGACAGTCGAAGCACAACTCGTTATGCTTGTTGCTTCACCCATTGCAGTCCGGATCTCCACCTGTCGCGATCCCTTTCTTTGGTGGTATCCAGAAGTCTCGTTCTTCATGGTGAACTTGTTGAAAAAAACGGCCATGCTCTCTAAAGCACTACGACGACGTTTTGCCCATCTTCTAAAGTGACATCGTTTTATCCTAAGAATCATCCTTCAAAGTCAAACTGGATTCCTCGATTGCTGATTTCTGATCAACCATCTCGTTCGACTTCCTCCTCTCAACATCTCTATCTTTTCTGCAAACCGCTCCACCTCGCACCGGCTCTATGAGAAAGGCATTATGCAGGCTATAGGAAGGCTCTTCTCTAGGCAACGGTCTCTTCTTCTTCTCGGTATAAATTGTAAGCTCTTCAGCTTGTTTTAAGTGTACTTCGATAGGGAATTGTGAGAATTTCTGGGTTTTGAATCTCTTTCAATTTGGATCGAAGGGTGAACTTACTCTGGTAGATAGAATCACAGTGTATAAGTTTGTACTGGGTGATTCAATCTTGGGGAGTGAGCGTATTGAGTGTTTTCTCTCTTTGTTCGAAAGAGCCAAGTTACTTGGCTTGGCTAAGTTTCGCTGTACTGAATTTTTCCATTTGAATAAAAGTATCATTTCAGTTCAAATTCTAGGGGGTCATTAAACACAATCTGTTTTTCTGACTCTCTATCATCACAATACTCAGAGTTTACAGAACTCACATGAAGACGGTGGTGTGCAACAGCCAGACTGCACATAATACCGTGTTTATGAACTTAGTGAACTAAATCAAAGGGGGGGAAATTGAAAGAAAGGAAAAATCTTCACATTTTGACGAGTACAGTCCTTATAATTTATCCTAGAATCGATACTCTTTCTAATGTACTAAAAAAATGCTATTGTCACAAATAATATGCAGTCTGCTCGTTGGTATTGTATAAATCTCAAAAGAAAATCAGTTGGCTGTGTACTAGAACAGCTAGACGAACAATTTCTTTCACTATGGTAGTTACCCTTTAACAATTTTCAGAAATTAAAAGATAAGTAAAAATAACTACACCGTACCTGCTCTTCCAAAGGTACTGTTGGGAATGAATAGCTTTGAAAGCTATATTGAATTAATTATCCTGTATTCTTTCTAGATACGAAAATAAGAAGGATAATTAATAAAAAGAATATTATGGAGATAATTATGATTAATTATCTTAATATAATATATTTTAATTATGGAAGTAATTATCTTCCTAATTAAATGTGGCTTATTCCCAAAGAAGAGGGAATATTCTAGGTTTTCTGCTCCTATAAATAGCAGTCCCCTAGACCCTCTAAACAGACCTCAGAAGAGCAGAAACACGAGAGAGAGTGAATTCATAGAGCTCCGGTTTTCGCACAAAACCGATGAGCAATAAAATTAGAATGGTTGTTTTATCCTGGAGGCGACCGGCTGATAGTCTGTTGTGCGCATTACGAGGTAGTGCTGCGAACGTCTTAAAGAGAGTGACCTAGTCCGCGACTCAGCCAGATTCGGTAACCCTAATTTTTCATGTTCGATTTCTAACAACTTTAAGACGTTTGGTTGCTGTCGTGTGTATCGAACAGGACGCCGATTCTGGCTTGAGCGATCTATATCACCCAAAAGCCACAACCGATCGCCCCTAGATTGCTTCTGCATACTTGTGCGTGTTATGATTACGAATGTCTCCGTTTGTATATTTCCTCTTTTCCCAGCGTATAAATTTGTGTGAATATATATATGTGATGATGATGATGCCGCTGGTGAATCCCTTATTTGCAAAGGGAAAAGGCAAGGTTTTCCTTTCCTCAGTCTTAGGTTTTTCTCTACACAAGAATCGTGCGAGGAAAGAGAGGCGGGTTTGCAACGAACCCGGAAGGCCGGAACCCGATTGGAGTCAAGACCTTGTAGATCATGACACACAGGGTTGAGGCGGGGACCAGATTGGCACAAAGGATGGACTCCGCCGCTGGGCTCTCCTTGATTGATAATGGGTTATGGCCCATGAGGTTACCAATTATGATTTATGACAATAATATATTGTTGTGAAATTAGATTGAATTGGTGCCGTGAATTACTTGGACAATTTTTTTTTTATTGACAACTAATGGGTTCCGTGTATGAGTTGCTAATGGTTTATGGAGCAAATTATGGAGGGTGCAATCTGTACGACGCAGCAAGCTATTGCGTGTATTTAGTGGACCTTGAATGGCTGAATGATTTTGGGCCAGTTGTGAAAGAAGAATTGCTTGGAAATTGAGAAATAGCAAAGCTAGAAGGGGTGCTAGCTACTCGTGCAAATTGAGAACGCATTGACTCATCGAAAAGAGTTAGAATCAAAACCTTTTTATGAATCATTATGATGAATGATAATTACTTAGAATCTATTTCACTTGAGTTCTATGCATTGTGTTTAGAAATTATATGAATGAAGAAAAGTTAAAATAGAATTGATGCATGTCGACATTGAGATGTATTACCTTGATGATTAGAGTAAAAATTGAATACATGTTGTGGAGTAGAATGGGAATATATGGGAATAGAATGGGTTAATTGCCCATAGTGACGATATTATAAGAAGTACTGTTGTCAGTACTGCATGAAACACTAAGGTTGCTATGAAACATTAAAGTTTCAAGAATGAGAGCAACTAGCCGTACCAGATCCATACCAAATAGAATGGTACCCTTTTTGGTAACCAAAAGATTGCCAGCCAATCCTCTAAGAATGACGCTATTTTTTCTCTGCTATGATTGCGGGAAACTAGGTCATACGACACGAAAGTGTATGAACAAGTTAAACATGGTATCATCTTTAACTTGAGTAAAGAAGAGGATTTGGTAGTAGAGGATGACTTTTATGGTAACTCTAAAGAATGGTTGTTGGATAATGACGCCTCAAGGCATTTGTATGATAAACGAGTTAAGCTCAATCATACTTTATTGATGCGTGAGAAGAAAGTGTTGTTGGGTTCTGCCTTCATCACTATTGTTGATGCTCCTGGAAAGTGGAAGAGAACCTTACCTCTAGAAAGTCGTTGACTACACCAGACGTAAGGAATGATTAAGTAAATAAAATTAATTCTTCCATGGGTTTGTGTGAAGAATTAGAGTATCCAAAGTCACTTTCCCATATTATTTTTGAAAGCTTGAGATAAATATGAAATTTTGAATCCAAGCTAAATTACCCATAATCAAAAGATATTACTTTTTCTGGTATGGTTAAAAATGATGGAAAAGACAATAAATAATTTATTGCTCTTTAGAGTGCTCTGATTGTCTGACTAGTTATTTGAAATGGTTTGAAATGCCTAATTGCATTATGGTTGCACTAATTATTCGATATGTGGCATGCATGTGGTAGCATTAGAGAATTAGTGTAACATGATAACTAGAAGAGCATATGATCGTGTGTTTATTGGATATGCTATAGAAAAACACATAAGCCTCATAACTTGAGTACTTAAAGTTGTGAAAACCATTGATGCCAATAGATTCCATTTATATTAAGAAATAGTGGGGGTGATATCCTGCCTACTATTAGAAATAATGGATAACTAGTGTGGGTGAGGAATCTGAGTATGAACTCAGAAGAGAGAAATGAACCATAAAATGATTTTGGTTATGAATTTGTTATTTACACCTTAAGAAAGAAAGATCACTTACAAGTCTGCTAGAAGTTCGAACTTCCATAAAGATGCAGAATCGTGGGAGAATCCATTATTAAGGAAATGGAATTATTGGAGTCTAATAAGACTTAAAATCTTGTAGAGTTACCTCTTGGTTGAAAAACCTTGGGTAATATATCGATAGAATCGAACAAGATTTGGCATCTTTGAGAATTACCTCTTGGAAATGAAGTCATGGGTAATAAATGGATTCTTAAAAGAAAAGTGAAACCTATTGATTTAGTTTATGAGTATAAGGATTGCCTAATAGCTAAGGCTTTAAGCGAAAATGAAAAATTGTAAATAAAAACACATAAGCCTCATAACTTGAGTACTTAAAGTTGTGAAAACCATTGATGCCAATAGATTCCATTTATATTAAGAAATAGTGGGGGTGATATTCTGCCTACTATTAGAAATAATGGATAACTAGTGTGGGTGATGAATCTGAGTATGAACTCAGAAGAGAGAAATGAACCATAAAATGATTTTGGTTATGAATTTGTTATTTACACCCTAAGAAAGAAAGATCACTTACAAGTCTGCTAGAAGTTCGAACTTCCATAAAGATGCAGAATCGTGGGAGAATCCATTATTAAGGAAATGGAATTATTGGAGTCTAATAAGACTTAAAATCTTGTAGAGTTACCTCTTGGTTGAAAAGCCTTGGGTAATATATCGATAGAATCGAACAAGATTTGGCATCTTTGAGAATTACCTTTTGGAAATGAAGTCATGGGTAATAAATGGATTCTTAAAAGAAAAGTGAAACCTATTGATTTAGTTTATGAGTATAAGGATTGCCTAATAGCTAAGGCTTTAAGCGAAAATGAAAAAATGTAAATTTTCTTGTTATCTATTCACCATATTTAGAATAACATCCATGTATGTTCTGATTGCTAGTGTTGTGCGTCAGATGGATTGTTAAACATGTTTCTGTGAATGATGATTTAGATAGGAAAATCTACATGGGACAACCTATAGGGTTGTTATTTCTGAACATGCTTAGGGAGTCTATAGTTAGACAAATCATTGTAAGAATTGAAATAGACTCTAGGATGATGGCATGAATAAACTGGTTCTCTCTCATGGTTTTAAAAGTGAAAGTGACAAGTGCATTTAGTACAAATTTGAGAATGACACTTGCATTATGAATGACACGTCGATCTTTGGTACAACGACTCGTGATGTCAATATTGAAAAACCATGATGGTTGAGAATTTTGAATGTAAAGGATCTGAATGAAACAAATGTTATGCTTAGAGATCCTAATAACTAGGAAAATACAAGATGTACACCTGCATACATGTTTGATGATGCTCGTATAAATATTTAAAGAACACCTAAGACGGTGTAAGAAAGTAAGAACATACTAGCATCGACAGTCTGCGAGAGGCAGCTGGTCAACATGAGACCCGACATAGTGGGGGTACTTGGCAGGCTAACTGATTGTCCTAGTATGAAGCATTGAAATGCAAAGGGGTCATGTGACACCTTAAAAGAACAGAAAAATCTTGGTATTTGTTATCAAAGGTTTTGCTGTATTGGTAGGGTATAGTGATGCGGATTAGAATACCCTATAGAGGACTCCAAGACAACAAGAGGATGTGTTTTAAACATCGATAGAGAAGCTATGTCTTGGAAGTTTAAGAAGTAAACGATCCTGGCTCAATCAACTAAGAAATAGGAAATGATAGAACTAGCAATGGCTAGTAAAGAGGAAAGTTGATTGAGAGGATCATTACTAGAGAATCCCTCATGGGAAAGATCGATCCCTCCGGTAGTTGATTCATTGTGATAGCACCGCAGCTATTACTAAAGAAGGGAACCGGTTCTAGAACGAAAAGAGACGACAAATTCGTCGTAAGCACAGTACTGTAAGAGAACTCCTAACGATAGGAGCAATGAGGGTGGATCTTGTAAGATCCTAACAGAATCTAGCTGATCCTTTGACGAAAGGATTATCTAGAGAGAAAGTCCAAAATACCACGAAGGGTATGAGACTTTTGCCTACCGAACCATGGACTACAAGTGATGGTAACCCGACCCAATAGACTGGAGATCCCAAGAAATGGGTTCAATGGGTAATAACAAGTCATGAGTAGTATGCGAAAAGTTCATGCATAGTGAAGCATGAATCCCAAAGCAATGGAGGTTGAGTTAACAACTCTTAATGAGATCTATACCCTATGTGGGGTGGAGTACTTTACTTTGGGGGTACTCCTGATAGACTCACCTATGTGAATGTGGGAGTGGGGCCGCTCCCTATGGAACTTTGGAGGCACAAAGTTGCTAGAGCGTTCACTAAACCGGGATAACGTGCATGGCCATAAACGCACGGCCTATGAGAGAATATCACTCAATGAAAAGATCCGGTGTGCTACATTGTCTGAGATAGGGTTCAAGACTACGAGTCACCCTTATGAAATCGGAAGTGTAACCACTACGCTGAGGTTCAAATCTTCATGATACCTTAGCTTATGCCCGATCTTATGGATCTGTTGATGCTCAGAGATAGTTTCAAAACTATTCAAGTGGGGGATTGTTGGGAATGAATAGCTTTGAAAGCTATATTGAATTAATTATCCTGTATTCTTTCTAGATACGAAAATAAGAAGGATAATTAATAAAAAGAATATTATGGAGATAATTATGATTAATTATCTTAATATAATATATTTTAATTATGGAAGTAATTATCTTCCTAATTAAATGTGGCTTATTCCCAAAGAAGAGGGAATATTCTAGGTTTTCTGCTCCTATAAATAGCAGTCCCCTAGACCCTCTAAACAGACCTCAGAAGAGCAGAAACACGAGAGAGAGTGAATTCATAGAGCTCCGGTTTTCGCACAAAACCGATGAGCAATAAAATTAGAATGGTTGTTTTATCCTGGAGGCGACCGGCTGATAGTCTGTTGTGCGCATTACGAGGCAGTGCCGCGAACGTCTTAAAGAGAGTGACCTAGTCCGCGACTCAGCCAGATTCGGTAACCCTAATTTTTCATGTTCGATTTCTAACAGGTACTGCTGCTGCAACTCTTGTGACTTCTTCTTCATGGATGCCGAATGATACACCAACCCACTTAAACCCATTTAAACGCAATTCACGAATCCACCGACGCGGAGGTATGAAACGGTTTGAAGCTGCAGATTAGGGGTGGGCATCGGTTCAGTTCGGTCGAAACCGAACCGAAATTGAGTATACCGGGTCCCCCGAACTCTCTACACATAAAACCGATCCCGAACCGAAATATAATTCGGTTCGGTTTGACCAAACCGAATTATATTCCGGTTCGGTTCGGGATCCCGACAAACCCGAAATTTCCCACACCCTTCCCCTACCTTCTTTTTTTCTTCCTCTGCCTTCCGCTTTTTCAGTACGCAACTTCCTCTCTCCCATTTCCCAACCCAAGTCCCACCCACCCCATCTCTCCATCTCTCTCATTTTCCCCTTCCACTCTCTCTCTCTCTCCCAGTTCTCTCATTTACTCTCTCTCCGTCTCTCTCTCCAATTTTCTACTTCTCCATCTCTCTCTCTGTAGGGGAGAACACACCGCCGGTCCGCTCTCTGCGAGCAGTTCGTCGCTCAGAGCTAGGTCGAGCACTCCGCCGTCGATGCCGCACTGAGCTCCCTCCGCCGCCGAGTTCACCTTCTCTCCAAGTCCGGCTCGCCAAGTCCGCCGCTCACCCATTTTGAGAAGAGGAAGAAATGGCGAAAGACAAGGCAGGGGAAGCATGCAGGGGCTCGTTAGGCCGAGCATGTCGCCCCCGATCCCGTCGTCGCTCATGCAGATCCGCCTTCGTTCCTTGCCTATCCCCCCGCCGCCGAGATGCCCACCCCAGTCTGTTTCCCTGCTGAGCCCTGAGGAGCGCCCAGATGTGCCTTGGATCTAAATCGTGGTGGATCTAAATCGTGACTCGTGAGGGACAGAGAGAGAGAGAGCGGCGGACAAGAGGTGGGGAGGGATAGGGAATTAGGGATTAGGTTGCTTTAGGGTTATGTTTGATTGGGTTTTTCTGTTGAAAATTGAGAGGTATGGGTTTCGGGGTGGGCTATTGGAAGACAGCAGCTGCAAAGGGTTTGGGCTTGGCCCACCCAGTAGCTTTATTCTTTCGTTGGGCCAAGGTAGTGGTGGGATTAATTTGGATGTGTTGCAATTTTCGGTTTTTCGGTTCGGAACTCGGATTTTCGGGTTCGGTTGACAGACCCTGTATTCCGAATTAAGAGCCTTTTCCATCCGAATTCCGATCCGAACAGTGGAAAATTCGGTTTCGGTCGGTTCGGTTTCGGTTTGGTTCGGTTCGGAGAGTTAAAACCGAACCGGATGCCCACCCCTACTGCAGATGACAAGTAACTCCAGACATAGACTTCGTCCCTACAAATCATCCATGAAAGACACGTTTCCTTGTCCATACTACCAGACACTAGTGCATCACTTGAAAAAGAGTGGATGCAACTTCAACAGTGGAATTTTCAGAAACCAAAGAAGCTAAAAATTCAGGTCCCAAAACGTGTACCGACCAGTGATATGCTTCTGCAATCTCGCCTGTTCATCACGAACCACCTGGGGGGACTCTCCAACATACACAGGTTTAACTGGATCCACATGAGTGATGAGTCATTTTCTCAACTTTTCCAGTCGGCGGAATCCTGTGCGCAATACAAAATTACAAATCCACATCTAAATTGTTCAAACTACTCCACACTAAACAGCACAATTCACACTAGGAAACTAACCAGAGACTAATCTATGTAGAGAATCAAGCAGAATGCATAGCCAAAAATTAAGAGGTAATTACGTCTCAAAGCACACCAAATTCTTCAAGCAATCAAACACGTTCAGCAGACACTAATACAGTTCAAAAGCACAGCAAAATCACAGAGTGACAGCTAGCAGAGCAAGTATACGCAAATTGAAGCTCAAAGGGATCAAACGAAGGAGAAACCCTACGAAACAACTCGTAACTTACACAAATCGCAGGGGAAGAAATTTACAGAAACAACCACCATTATCAAAAGTATATCCCTAGGACGTCAGCAAGGACTACTATGCACTCCATTTCAGACATAGACAGAGCTAAACTAGATTGTCCAAGCAATAGTTTAACAGCGCTAAAAAAATTAGTACCAGCAAGCCAACGCAAGCATCCATAACGCGAAGCTCAATGGGAAACAATCGGACGCTGAAAAACCTCCGGAACAGTTCTGACCTGCAAAGCTCCACATCGGAAGGAAATTACAGAATCTGAACAAATAAGCAATAAGAAATTAAGTGAGAATGGAAGTACCTGGCCTAAACAGAGAGGCGGGGAGGAGCCCAGGGAGCGGGAGTTTCGGTGGCCGGACGTATGGGGACTGCATGTACTGATCAGCTCAAAGAATTTTTATAGACAATGAGAATGAAAAGATATTATCATTCCTGTCAAAATGATGTCACTGTATTTGAAACAATAACAACTATCTATCCTCCATAGTCACCGGAAGCACCTCTGGCTTTAGCAAAGATCCCTGTAACACCTTTGCCTTCAAACTGTCTAGCTTGATGAGCACTTGATCCATTTCTACTAATTTACCTGCTTTGGAAAGTTCTCTTGCCAAGCCCACATATGTTTGTAAACTAAGTGAGTAATTTCTAGACTCCATTAGGTGAAGAAACTTCATGCATAGTTCTGATTTCCCTCCCTTCAGTAGCCCATCAACCAGAACAGTCCAAACAATCAGATCACCACACTTTTGTTCTTCCAATAAAGACTTCAACAAATCCTCAGCTTCTTCCAAACGATTGATTATGCATAGAGCATGAATAAGCACTTTGTAGACAGACAAAGGAGGCTTGAACCCCTCAAGCTGTGCTAGATTAAAAATCCAGAAAGCAGGGGTTACTTCAAGATTCTTACAGTGAGCAACTAGAAGAGAGGAGTACATCTCCATAGTAGGATACATACCCCTCACTTTCATGTATTCTACCAACTGGTTTGCCTCGTGGGATTTGCCGTCTTTACACAAGCCACTAATCAGAGTACTGTACACATCTATTGTCGGTTCAGATCCGATCTCTGATAATCTAGATAAGAGATGACAAATCAAATCAAAATTGGTAACTCTGCTAACTGAGTCATGCACATAGACGGCCTCATTCTGAGCCACTACTCTTTCTGCACATAATTGGGTTTCCTTTCGCAGTCCTTTCAGTAACACAGAGTAAGTTCTGAAGTTTGGTTTGCAACCCATGTCAACCATCCTTAGGAACAGTAAGAATGCATTATCCATTCTACCAAGCATCACAAAACCATCAATAAGAGCAGTGAATGTAACCTCATCATCAATAAGTAGTCATTTACTTGTTTACTCTCGTATAACCAACTGATTAACTGTCTATTTTTAAAGCTAATAACTCCTATTTATTGTATCTCTCAAAACTCTGAGTTGTTAAGTACTTTCAATGGAGCATAAGTGATTTTTCCTTTTTCAACTCAAGCTAGGATGATTTATTAGTGTGAATGTCACTTTGGAAGCTTCTGGAATGGGTTGGACATAAACTTGGTCAAGGTGATCCTATTGGTTTCCTTGGGCTTCTATGCAATTTGCCAATTTTAGACTTCATTGGACGACAATGGCCCGTCGATGGGTGTTTGGCTCCTAAACTTCGGGTTTTACTTCATTCTAGTCTATAATCACAACCATGAATGGGCTTGATTGCGCTTGTATATAAAAATAAAAAATCACAAAAAATCATCTAAAAGGACATCAAAGAGTCAAATAACTAACATTTTTGTTATAAAATCTCTAAGATTACATCAAATAGATATGAGTATATCTTAGAACGAGGTAAGAAAATAGGACTTTTACGTGCAATCAATACCAATAGAATTTTGACAACAACCCAAGTACCCAACGGCTCCTAAAAAACAACTTAAATATCTGACAAGTTCACAAAACCACAATTTAATAGGTCGAAGTTCTTGAAAAAGCAAGATACTAGCTAAACAAGGTTCGAACTCTTATCAAACGAGCAAGAAAATATAAATTTCATGATAAATGGATAAAATATATGAGGTAAATCAACAGGAATTATACAAACTAACAAGATAAATTGGCAGTGACAAGAGCCAGAGGGTGAAGGCAGCGACGGATCCAGGACAAAGTAGAGTATTGGGTCGCATTTGAATAGAATATTACATACCATAAAAAAAGTATATAATATCTATAATTTTTTTTTTTCAAAGTCAATAGTTATAAAGACAGTAATACAGAGAAAATAAGAAGAGCGCGGGAGTCGACCACTAGCCGAACTCCCGATGAGAGGACCTTTTGTGCCACATGATGGGCAGCCCTATTAAGTCGACGAGAAACAAAACAGTAAGAAACTCAGCTAAAGCGAGAAGCCAAGCTCCGAACATCCTCCAGTATAGGTCCACCTCGATCATGAGCCAAGTCACCTCGATCATGAGCCAAGTCACCTCGATCATGAGCCAAGTCACTGTTGGGATTTTTAGTGGTGTGAATGGAAATAACAGGGGAAAGTTTCAAGAGAGTCCTTGAAGTACCATGTTGGTAAGATATGGGAAGGCACGGCCTCGAATTCGATCGATTTGATGTAATATGTGGTTAATCGGTTAAATTGGTTTGTGTACCAAAGAGATCAAACCAAACCGAGTTGAACCAAATCGAACCGAACTGATGTGGTGGTTGGAATAACCAAACCGGTCCAACTACCATGGGCCGAACCAATGCAATGGTTGAAATATTTTAAACGAACCAATGCAATGGTTGGGGTGTAACCACCCATATGAAGAGTCGCCTCCCTTCGTACGCATCCCTTCATTTTCTATAAATAGCACCATACCCCCTCTAGATTTGACTACGAGTTTTACATGGATTTTTCCCGGTACTGAAACTCTGCCAAAATCCAAAACTAGTTTTTCTGCATTCTTTTCAAAGAGAAAATAGAGTCAAGTGTGGTTCTCGCCGTTTCGCTGCGTTCGATGGTTTCCGGGGTTTGAGGTACCGCTACGCCGGAAAAGGTACGTCCTTTCTATCCTGGGAGGAATCATTCCACAACCTTGGGTACTTGAGGGGAATAAGATTCTTTAAGGAGAGATAGTGAATTCTATCGGCTAGGACGCTTGCATGTGTCTTTGCATGTTTTTCTTAACCTTATGTGTTTGCTTGTGTTGCAAGAAAATAGTGTACATGAACAATTTCCCCAACAATCTTAAAGAATCTTATTTTGGTATTCACGTATACAATTTTTCTTGATCAGAATTAAAGTTTCATTTCGTCGTTAATATATGTGTTTTGTATAAGAAAATGGCGATTCATGCATGCAATAAGATTTAACTGTTTTGTGTCGGGTTATGAAAAGAACCATACATGATTCTGTTTGTTACTTGGTATCCATGAATGCATCTGGAATATGACATATATAAGACTATAACTGATGATGAAGTTCGCGTGTTCCTTCGGCTTAAGGAAAATTGGTGAATGGTCATGATGTTTCGTATATATATGTTTGATATATATATGTTCAATATATATACGGTCGCTGTGTATGTATATATATGTTTTGGTTTGTTTGATCAATTGTCTGGATATACTGCACTGACCGGGTGAAAGAAAGGAAGGAACTCGATTGCAAAAGCACCAGAAAGGTACTTCCTGAATCTCATTAATGCATGTATATATATAAGTGTCGCTGTTTGTATACATATTTATATGTGTTTGGCGTTAGGCAAAGGTTATATATGTGCATGAGATTCTGGACATGTTTAATTCTATAAGGTTGACATCGTTGTTCTACATGATTTTATGTTAACCGAAAAGAATGTCTGTTTCCTTTTTATATATATATATATATGGTGGCGTATTCAGTGCACCCACTTTTTTGGGTGCACTCAGTGCACCCGCCTCATAATTGTCATTTTGAGCATGTGATTCATGTCAAAACGGTATCAATTGTTGCTTATGATATTATGAACAAGAAGCACATGAATTTGAAAAAAATTCATTCAAAATTTACTTTAATTTGAAGGATTTAGGATTTAGGGATTTAGGGTTAGGGATTAGGTTTAAAATTTGGGATTTTGGATTGGGATTCAAAATTGAAGGTTAAGGGGTTAGGGTAATAGATTGATGTGTTATGATTATATGTGATATCATCATATTAGATTGAGAGTACTAATTAAAGTTCACAATTTGATGTAATATGGACATTTTTAGAGTGGGTGCACTGAGTGCACCCAAAAAAGTGAGTGCGCCGAAGTAGCCACCTATATGCATATATATATATATATGCTATGTATATATAAGTGTTTATTTGTGATATATATAGAGAGTATATGCTCTATATATGGTTTTTCTGTTTCTGCCGTTGGAACCAAAGAAAGGAACTAAGGAAGTATGGCAAAGAAAGGAAGTCGGGCAAACGACGGTGGTGAATGCATTATGAATGCTAGTGGTAGTTCAGTGCCGCACAGTAGCCGTGCCTCTAGATGGTGGAGAGCATCCAACCAATTATTGGACTCTAGATGATATACCCATCTATGATTGGTACTCAATGGGTCCTAATGTGGACGATTTGGGCACCCATGTGGACTCGATGGAGAGTATGGGGGAAGAAGAGGAAGTTGAGGAATCGGAGAACGAGGAGGAGTACTCCGACATAGCGACCGATGAATGCCTCTCTGATCCTGACTTCGACCCCAAGAATCCTTAGGATTCTTGTATATGTATTGTAATCTCCTTTGAGGAGTAGACATATGTATGTGTGTATATATACATATGGTATTAATATGTGTGTGCCTATGTAAGTCGTGTATTTACATGATGAATAAAGGACAAATGTTCTTATCTCCCAAGTGAAAAATTAGTTGGATAAAACCCTACGAGTTTGTTTGGTTCCAGAATTAACCACAAAGTTTTAATGCTTTTATTGCATTGGACCATCTTAATTATGTGGCATGGATGAATGATAATTGTACCAATTTAATTTGGACACTTTTTCATTCAAGGTGATGCATGAGAGGATGGAAGTACTTATGATAGTCCTTCATGGACTCTAAGTAACTGTGGTTTGGATAGTAATAAACTATCTAGTGGGAAACTATGAACATTCATAGGTATGTAAAACCTATGGCGCGTGGCAAGTGGGGACATGTAAATCATGTCTATCTGGGCCGGAATGGTTCCAAATTGATTGCAAAAGTTATGTTCAAAGTAAATTGAACATAGTACGAAAAGATA